GCCCTCTCTTCACATTGTCCCAATCTGGATAACAACGACAACGGCGATCAAGATGATAACACCTCTCCGCAGTTCCAATGTACAAATGATAAGAAGACGAAGTCTGAGCTCTGTGCATTTGTCTGAAGTCTGACGTTTCACCTGCTGTAGCCTGAGTATATTTTGTCGCATCCCTCAACTCTGGACTAACTCCCTCAATAACTGTCTTACGTTCCAGTGCTCCACAAAGCCAGAATATAACAATTGTCCCCAAAGATCCAATCATCACTCCAGTCAATGCAGAAAATAGCACCACCATGAGAAGCTCATCCATTGCTGGCGAACGCGGCGCGGCCGGCCCGGGCTACACGAAAAAGAAAACACACACACACAACAGAACGAAACAACTGGAGTGTGAGCATCCTGATGCGAGCACTCTCTCAACGGAGTTGATAGGCTCCTGAAATCTATACTGATGTCATCACCTGATTCCTGATGACAAAAACCTGAGAATTCACTTAGTGAAGTCTTCACTGAAAACTGTGCCTGACAATCGAATGTCCCTGAATCCGCTGTGAACCATGCAAACATGCAAATTCCACTGAACGGTTCGGCTGAAAAAGAAAACTGTGCTTTCCTGAAGTCAAACTGCTGACATGAAATGCAAACTGCAGTCAATGACAAACAAAATCACGACGTTTCTTCCTGTTGATCAATCCAACGAAGTGCAATAGCACGACAATAGAATCTGGCAAACTTATATGAGTATCTTTCCGTCATCGAATAGTTGACCTGATTCAATGGAGCGTGGTCCTGAGCACACTTACACTGAAATCTCTTTCCAAGACCTGTGGCAAGTACTTGATCCGAACATGCAATGCGAAAGACTTTACCAATAGGTTGTCCCTGACTAGTTTCCAAACCCATGGCACATGCAGCACAATCCGCAAACTTTTGCATGTCGTGGTCAGTTAGAAACTTCTTCAAATCTCTCGTCTGACCAAAAACGGTTCGATTTCGGAAGCTCCAGAGTCACAGCACTACACACATTGCTCATGCCCTTGATATATGAAACATATCTCTTGCAATGATCAAGAAGCCTGAAATATGCATCCTGAGCAGGTTTCCTGTCTTTCTTGGATAAGTCCAACAAAGGGCTACCCCCAGTACAGGGAAGAGAAATGTTTACCTGAATCAGTTTCTGTGAATCCGCACTACCGGAAGATCCCTCAGCAAAGCTCTTCAAGAACTTCTAGGCCTGACGTTGAGTTGAAGGAAGTTCCAAACCGGCATGAATTCCAATGTAACTGGATCCAAACTCCCTAGAAGCATTTTGAATCACTGAGTCAACACCACAAGCAAGTTCCAAAATCAAAAGATTTCCACCTGAATCAAACATGGTCATACTTCCATCTTCGGTCACACTGCAAACACCTGAACGAGTTGGAGTACGAGATCTACCTGAGTTTTCACTGAGGCTTGGACTGACTTCGGTCCCGTTACCAGGCCCCGTGGGATTTGCAGCTGCCGGAGCTGGGGTTGCAGGTGCGGCCGGAGCCGGGGTCGCAGGTGCGGCCGGAGCCGGGGTCACTGGTGCAACTTGGGCAGTCGGCCCCGCCAAACGGAGCTGCCCCGTTCCGATAAGTCGGAACAATCGCAGATTCACCTGCGAGTTCAGCAGTCCACTCCCTTGGCATGCCACGCAAACCTCTGTCTCGCCTCCCACCGGTGCTGGCTGGGGTGTCACCGGCATCGGTGATATCACCGGAGCGCTCGACCAGTGGACTGAACTTTGTCCTGGTGCTTCTCCTGCCACAAGGGAATCTCCTGCTGGAGAAGTAGGCGTAGGAGCTTGTGAGCTTGCTGGCGTCGGCTGGTGCACTGTCAGCGCTGACAATCTTCCAGATCCCTGTGCCGCAACAAGATGAGCATCACCATGTCCAACACTGTCTGAAACCGGCGTCACGAGGTCCACGGCTGTGTTCGGGGTAGCAACATCTACGGTAGCTGGTGCCTTAGCTACGGTAGCTGGTGCCTTAGCCCCTTCGGCCATCTTTTCAGCTGCTCTCTTTGGTGAAGGTGTTCGGGTCATTCTTCCAACCGATCCCTTCACAGGCGGCGTCTTGACTGGTGGCCTCTTTGGTGGCGTTTTGGGTCGCCTCACATCAGGTCTGTTCGATGATGAGGCAACTTCTCCTGGAGGTGGATCCTGGCTAAACTTAGCTGGGAGCCTTGGCGTTGGTTGCATGGATGCGGATGTTGCAGAAGTCTGCGGCGGAACACCTGGTCTGCTCCTGGCAATCTTTGGACTCCCGCTCATCGGAGGTGGTGGCGGAGGCGGCAAAGACTTCTTCGTAGTCCCCACCGAACTCATCGTCCCCAGGTACTGTCCACCCACCTGAGATGCTGAATCTTCTGGACGGACATCGTCAAACTCCGAGGGATACTCCCCATATTTCCTTGAAGCCTGACTCGAGGCCGGGTCTCCCCTGCCCCCTCGTACTTGATGACGCCCTCAGTGAGAGATACTCTCCTCATCTTCTGCGGGCAATTGGCACTCAAGTGTCCCTTCTCACCACACTGGTAGCAAGTACGAGTCTCAGTAGGGTACCTGGAAAAACCTGATTGTGCAGTTCGAAACTTCTGCTCCCTTTCGATTGGCTTGACTTCCATTGTCTCTCTTCTGCCAGAAATAGGGTCGAAAAAACTTCGAACTGGCACATCTCCTCCACGAGCTGGAATCTCAAAAGCTGGTGCAGGCTGGGCACGCTCTTCCTTTGCAGTCTTCTTAATCTCTTCCCACTTCGCCTTCTGGCGTCTCTTCGTCTCCTGGTTCTTGAAGCGGTTCTTCCCGGGTACCTTGGCAGTTGTCCCAGGCTCTGTTTTCACCTTGGTGATCTTGCGCCTCGGCATGAGCTTGGCTGCAGGCCTCTTGGGCATTTTCTTCACCTGAGGTTTCCTTCCAGATCTGAAGTTGCTTCACCTGTAGCTTGTCCACCCAGAACTGCTTCCTTGGTGTCCGGTGTACCTGAAACAGTCACAGCTGGCTCACCTGATGGGGGTTGAACCTCCTCAACCACTGCATCTCGGCGCATAACGCCCCCAGTTGGGTCCTCTCTTGGCTCTCCTGTCGTCCAATCCACACGAGTGAACCCTGAGACACTAGACCGTGTGTCTTCCTCTGCCATCAGCGCGACAGCAAGAGGCAAACTGTCCGGGTTTGTCAAGCTTTCTTGAGCAAACACAGCTTTCACATGACGAAATGATCTCTGATCTCCTGAAGCTTGCAGTTCTTCTTCCAAAACAAACAAAAGCAAACGTTCTCCGCACAAAACGCAGTTCCTGTTTGACAAACATGAAATTTGTTTTGAATAACTGTTGTCACAAACCTTCAAGCAAAAACCAAGGATGTTCGAAATCAAACTGAAATCAACTTTCACAAATCCAAGCATGTTCCTGTAAAATAAAAACTTCTGAGTTGGCAAGCACTTGGTAAAACAATCCGCTGGGTTCAAAGTTCCTGGAACATGCGACAAAAGCAAAACTTTGCGATCCATCAACTCTCGGAGCCAATAAACTTTAATCTCAATGTGTCGGCTCTTTCGTTGCAAATCAGATGCTTCGAGAAGCATTTTCCCTGACAAACTGTCGGTCTTGACGACCAGTGGAAACAAGTATGAAACTTTCATAGAGTCTTCGTCATCAGACTCTGCTTCGTCATACCAAGTCACCTGAGCGTCCTGAGGGATAATGTCAACCCATGGATACAAACGACCAAGCACAAAACCCAAAGTCCTGAGCAAGCCGATTCCATCTTATATTAGAACAAACTCAGGCAAATATGTAAGGGTAAGCGCTACGCAAAGTTCGTGGGACAACTTACACAAAAACAAAACCAACGATACCTGACGTACATATATATATATCCATGTAGTATATATATATATGTATATACGCCGGGAAAAGAGAGATCTCGATACGCAACGGAGCGACGTGATAAATGTCAAACTTCAAAAAAATGATTGGAAAATTTCGAACTGTTGGATCTTGAACGCGCGCACTCAAAGCATCCTTTTTACTCCTCTCAGCATGCTCTATTTTGGTCTGGGGAGTTTGCTGTTTCCGTTCGGTCACCAAGCAAGGCATATGACAGTTTGTCGGATCTGTTATGGTTTCCGTTCGGTCACCAAGCAAGGCATATGACAGTTTGTCGGATCTGTTATGCCTTTTAGTAGTGTGAATCTCACAGCAGTGAGTTGTCACATATGTTGCTCAGTGGTTCTCCCCCCCCCAAAATAGGGTTAAGGGAGGGTGGGCCGAAAGAAAAGTTGGTTGTGGAAGAAAGGTTTTTTAAACCCTCCACTACCTCACCCTTGATACGAAAAATGCAACACGAATATAAAATGAGAAGTGAATCCAAGGGAAGGTTGTGTTGTTTTGTTTTGGTTGTGTGAGTTGTCCATTTAAAATTATTATTCAGAAAAACACATGCTGCGCAAGATGTGACCCTTATAAAAATTGTTTTGCCCTGAGTTGCAAAATTTGTTGTTAAAAATTTTGCTCTGTTCTTACAAAGATTGTGCTCTCACTTCGTGACAGCACTCATCTTATATTAGAACAAACTCAGGCAAATATGTAAGGGTAAGCGCTACGCAAAGTTCGTGGGACAACTTACACAAAAACAAAACCAACGATACCTGACGTACATATATATATATATCCATGTAGTATATATATATATATATTTATTTATATACGCCGGGAAAAGAGAGATCTCGATACGCAACGGAGCGACGTGATAAATGTCAAACTTCAAAAAAATGATTGGAAAATTTCGAACTGTTGGATCTTGAATGTGCGCACTCAAAGCATCCTTTTTACTCCTCTCAGCATGCTCTATTTTGGTCTGGGGAGTTTGCTGTTTCCGTTCGGTCACCAAGCAAGGCATATGACAGTTTGTCGGATCTGTTATGCCTTTTAGTAGTGTGAATCTCACAGCAGTGAGTTGTCACATATGTTGCTCAGTGGTTCTCCCCCGTTGTTGTGAGCAGCATGTAAGGAGATCGGTGAAATTGGATCAGAGCGTTCACTAGGTCGGCAGGAGCTTTGATAACACCGCCATCATCCAGGCAGTACCTCTTCATGGCTTCTTTCAAGCGGTTGCGGGAAGGTAAGTCTGCTGGATTCGAATACGAGCATACTCTTTCTGTCCAAGGAAAGGCTGGATAGCGAAGATCGAGATCAGCTAACATCCTAGACAACGATCGCATGGTGGGAGAGTGGCTGTTGGCCTTTATGGAAGAAATCCTTGCAGACTCATTGTCAATCCATTCGATGACCCTGCGATTCTGCAAGTGGTCTCGGCGTGACCATTTGAGCAAAACCAGGCCCCATAGCTCAACCTGCGATATTATCTGTTCTCCAGCATTTGCTAACCAATGGTCTACAAGAGCTTGCGGCACTTCAAGTTGAAACGCAAGGCGGATGTCGCCGTCAACCAGAACTGCTCCTGCAGTAGCAATGCCATCCTCCCAGGCTCCGTCTGTAAAAACGACCACTGGACGCCCCACATTCAGAACTGAGTGCACGCGTGGGCGCTGTTCCAAAAGCATTGTTTTCGTGTACAAGCAGAGACTTTCCAAATCAGAAGCACGGAGATTCTGGGGTTTGTCGGCAAAAGGCATAAAAGCAGACACCAAATGCTTCATGCTCCGGCCCAAGTAGAAGCTGACTGCAAAATTGAGGAGCCCCTGGAGTTCGCTCGCTTTCGCAGCGGAAATGTTTTTGTCTTTTGCCACCTGATCAAGCATTGCACACAATTTCTCGATCCGACTTGTTTTGTTCCTGACCACCAAGGCGCCTAAGCTCATACCACTGAGGTCAAACGTTACGCCAAGCAAGTCAAAAGTTGCCGAGAAGTTGAGAGCTTTGTCCCCTTCTTTTGCATGGTCCCAACCAAGCAAGTCGAGCAATGCGCTAAAGGCCAATGTCAGGACCCTGCAACCATCTGATCGCTCAACCGTCGGGAAGTCGTCAAAGTAGTGAGAAGTAATGGCTTTAAGCAGTTTTGACAGCAGAAACCAAAGGGCTTGTGATATGCGCACGAAGCCGTAAACACTTCCTGTGCAGCCGAAGGGCAAGGAAACACTTTTGTAAAACTGCCACTTCCCCCCAAGCGGAAATCCAACTATAGCATGGAGCTGATGATCAGGCAGCACAGCTAGTTGTTTATAGGCTCTGCTGAGATCAAAAGTCTTGCCGAGCCATTCCAATGCTTCAGAGCCAGACAGTCCAGCTTCACGCATAGCACCCAGAACCATAGCCGCGGCGTAATCCACGTCTTGCAATTGGAGTTTCACTGTCGATGAATACGCCGAGTTGACTGCGCTCTGCTTTGCATCATCTATGACCCTCACCTTTTGGTTCGCCCCTTGAAACAAGACAAAGCGCGGGTTCAATGACCAGCATTCGGTCCCCATCAGGACTGACATTTCAGCCTCAGAGTACGGGCCCTGCAAAAAGCCCTTCTCAACTTCAGAGGCTGTTGCCTCCACCAATGCATCTTCCTCGCTCTTGGAAAGCGGTCTGGCTGTTTGCATTATGCTGGTTCTACGCCATCTAGCCGACGCCATCAGTTCATCTTCTGTCATGCTTGCTGGCACCAACAATCGCTGGTAACCGGTCGGCGGTTCTTGCAATCCCACCAAAGGAACTCCAAATTTCAAAAGGTCGACAACACCCATGTCCCAGTAGTTCAGTTGCTGTAGAAGCTTCTCAAAGAGCAGTATGTTTTTGCTATTGACACATCGACTAACGTCAGGGTGCAAGCTTGCTTTGAGTTCCTTCTCGTGCAGCTTAAGGTCTGTGGACAATTTCTTCACATGAAAAACAGTAGACAAGCGCTCTTTGGCCAGCTTTGTCGGGCAAGTTCCAACTACTTGTACAATGGCGTCCTTTGTAATTTGATGCAGAAAGGAATCTTGGTCGATAGGGTGTTTTGCCTCCTGAGCTTTCTTTAGAAACTCTTCCGGTTCATGCCAAACGCCATACTTAAAGGTGGTTCTGGGCCTCTTGACAGGCCCTGCTTCCGGGTCCAGTTGCTGCTCAGTGTTGGTTTCCCCATGGTGTGGTGGAGCAGCAAGCAGTTTGTGGGCAGGATGCTTAGAAATGTCACTCAGGTGTATAAATTCCTTGTACTCAGGCACCAGCGGAGGGTGTCTAATGCTTTGTTGACCCAAACCCAAACGGAGAAGATCTTTGAGCCTCAATGACGGTGTCGGTTGGACACCCATTTGAACTGATGCTTCAAGCACACAATCTGCCATACGCTTGCACAAGGCGCTTGGATATTCCGCCTCCGCTGCTGTAGGGAATATTACACCCTGATCACTCTTGTAAGGTTGCCATGACGCATGCACATGGTTCTGTGGGCAGTCAGCCGCCAATGATGTGAAGACACCTTGAGTTGCTAGCAATTTGGTCCTTTTGTCTCTCAGGCTACCATGCGCGCATGCGTCAAAATAGATACTCTCTAAGTTTGCAAACCATGAAATGAAGAGCTGGTCATTTGTATCCTTTACCAAAACTGCAAGAAGCGCCCAAAGCCAAGAGCGCGCTGGATTTTCAATTGAAACCAAGCATCCCAGCACCATGCAAATTTGCAAAATTCTGATGGCTGAATTGTACAACTGGTTGGCAAGATCGACCTTAATTTTGTCAGCGCCTGTTAGGTGAGGAAAACCTCTGAGATGCTCAGCACTGCGCAATGGTTGCGGTCCCATATGGCCTCCAAGCTTGGACGGCATAGGTTTCTCTCTGGCACGGGAGCATGTTCCACAAGGAAGGCCCAAGTGGACGTGACACGGCTTGCAGTGATGTAGCATTGTTTCAAGCAGCATCAATTGATTTGAATTCGACACATCCAGCACAAAGACTTTGACCTTAGGTAAATGCCTATTTGCTGAGTGGTCCACCGGGTAAACCTGGAATCCGAGGCGCCTTAATGCGTCCGACAATCCAGCTGAGCCACAACAGATTTCAAACGTTGTAGCTTCCAAAGTGAAACTTGTATTGCTGGACACCTCGCCAAGTCAGTGTGGGCATTCATTGCCCGGGTGAAGTTTGTGACATGACTTCTTCCAGCACATGTGGTACCCAACCATGCAACGTTTTCCAGGTTTGATTTTGGCAGTGCAACGCCCAACCTGCCATCGTTTGCAAAGCTGTTTTCCATCCACAAAAATCTCACAATCATCCGGTACCGCAATGCCAGAGTTGACCTTGCCTTTGCCCTTCGAGGATTTTCCTTTTCCATCACTGTGATTTCCACCTTTGCCTTTTCCACCAGAGAACGTTGAAGACGTGTCTTGCTTGTGAGCCCCAACGCTTTGCAGCGGTGTCAAGTGCTGCAAGACTTCCGGATGCTCCGAAATTTTTTCGAAGGAAACATCAAAAGGCTTATCTGCCCCGGTCTTCGGCTGCAGCCGGCCACGAGTATCATTATATAGATACTTTGACCCACAAGGCCTTGTCAGCATTGATCACCTGCTCAACACTAATGTGCCTGTAGTTTGACAGTGGGGCTTCATTCATCTTTTCGAAAAGTTTTTGCGTCCACAAGTCAAGCACAGCAAAAGTGGCGATGCCAGCCAAGTCATAAGCCAGTGACCTTCTCAAAAACGCCTGTCTCAGTTTGTGTTCACCTGTTACATTCACATCGTCAAGACGTTGCTTTTTGCTGAGTCGCAAGCCACCTGCATTATTATAAATCTTTGAGGCTCAAGAAATTCAAGACCCAAAAGAAACAAGAAGGAAAGACTCGTCTTTCCAATCAACTCACACCAAGACAACTTTGACACAGCGCATCCTTCTTTTTAAACCACGATGGGGAAACGAGTCATCAGTTGAATTCAATGAGACATATTCGAAATTGATCTGGGCTACCAGTTTTGAGGATCAGATGTCTGGTGGGAACTTCAACACAGGAGTCGTTTCAGGATCAAATATGAAAACCAACAATGAGGTTAAGAATCAAAGTATAGATTTGTAATAAAGGAAATGTCTCGTCATAAGAATCAAATCTGAACACCATCCCCATCTGTATTAGTTCCCATCCAAATCATCCCAAAACATTCCTTGGTAGCCAGAGTAAAATTGTTCAAAATCAAATGCATCTTGGTCATTTTGTTGAGCAAGATGATCTTCATATTGCTGTTGTATATGAGCAGCTTCATCGGGATCAACTTCTAGTTGATCAGGTTGCGATTCAGAGTCAATCTCTGTAATGAGACTGAGTTCTGGAGAAAAAGATACATTGTCTTCAAATTGAGATTGTGGAAGCAAAACAGGTACTGATTTCACGAATTTGGTTAGCATGGCGACTGAAAGACAGTCAGCTGCTGCAAACAAGGAGGAAACAAGGAGCTCCGGATTTGGGAGTCTCTTGAATTGATGAAAGGAAATGAGTTCGCGAATTAAACAATTCAGAAAGGATAAATTTGAAATGAATTGATCAAGGTCCGGAGGGAGAAGAGAATTTGCGAAGAGGAAGACGGAGGTAGAAGGATGATCGACAAAGAAGCTGGAAACTGGTTCAAAATGTCCAGAAAATGAACAATGGATGACTGAACAAAGGAAGGCCCAGTGGCGGCCTGTGAAACTGTCGAAGATGTTCTCAAGAAGGAAACAAACGATATTGAGAAGACGAACGAGTCGTTGTCCGTTATCGATGTGCATCGAAAGCCATTCACGAAGAGTCTCGCTCAGAGTATCCATACCTGGCAAGAAGAACAAAAGAAGAGGGTGAGGAGGGAGGGAGAAAAATTTTCACTGCAAATGTAAGAAATCAATGTTTGGTTCTTGAAATTTCTTGAGCCATGGCCACGGAAATAAAATAAGTCTGAGGGAATTTCCGATCTCACAGATTTAAAATAAAGATATGTCTAACGATGTTAGAAATAGTTCTTATTATAAATCTTTGAGGCTCAAGAAATTCAAGACCCAAAAGAAACAAGAAGGAAAGACTCGTCTTTCCAATCAACTCACACCAAGACAACTTTGACACCGCGCATCCTTCTTTTTAAACCACGATGGGGAAACGAGTCATCAGTTGAATTCAATGAGACATATTCGAAATTGATCTGGGCTACCAGTTTTGAGGATCAGATGTCTGGTGGGAACTTCAACACAGGAGTCGTTTCAGGATCAAATATGAAAACCAACAATGAGGTTAAGAATCAAAGTATAGATTTGTAATAATGGAAATGTCTCGTCATAAGAATCAAATCTGAACACCATCCCATCCTCGTAAATTTGATTGTTATGAACCTTCAAGCTTTCTGAGAAATTCCTTGATGATGAAGTCAAAGACTTCTAATGGGAAAACAAAACATTCAGCGCCAAGGTCTCGTACTTCATCCAGTGAGTCTCTGGATGGTCCATCCGCGATGTTAGAAGAGGAGTTCACTCTGGATATCCAGGGTACGAATTGAAGCCTCTGTTCCAGATCAAGAAAGAGATAGACAAGGGATCTTGATGAATGGTTGATGGAGCCGGCATTGATCAAAGCTGATTGTGCCGCAGAGTTGTCAACGTGGAAGAACACGCGCTTCGACCTCAACTCTTCCTCAAAGGCAATGCAAGCCATGATGACTGGCAGAATCTCCAATTGATGAATCTTCCCACCAACAGTTTGAACTTGCTCATGGGTAGGCGAAAATGAAAAGGCCTTAAGACAATCTCCACGTTCATTCACTAACACAGCACCGACTCCAGCAACTGAATCCGAGTCACCAGCTGGCTCCAAGGATCCGTCTGTGAAGACATGTACTACTTCAGACCGTCCGAAAAAGACTTTCCTCGGCATACCGACCTTCAAATGCGAGATCATGATCTCAAGAAGTCTCCTTGTGTTCGGATCTATCCTCTTAGAGTGTTTCTGACACTCGTACCTTCCCAGGTCTTTTAATACGGATGCGGCCGTCCGCCCGTACAGTTGCGAGCATGCGAAGCTAAGTCTACTCCTTAGCCCCTTTGCATCACGACCACATATCTTGCCAGAGGAGGGGACTGATTCAATCCTTTTAACAAGATCTTCAACTCGTTGATCGGTATTCTTGATCTCAAAAGAGTCGCCAGGCATCTTATGCAGGTCAAATGCAACACCCAGAGCGCTGAAGACTCGAGCAAAGTCTCGGTTTTTCTTTTCTGCTGTGCTGAGGTTGAGTCCCAGGACTTCGAAAATCGTCCTTATGGCTAGGTCTGTACCCTTGGCCAATGACTTCCTCGTGACGACAGAGAAGTCGTCAAAGTATGAGGTGACTGGGACCTTTAAGAGAGTACAGCAGATGTTGTTGATGGCTGCCGCTGTCCTCAAAAACGCATGAACGGAAGCAATAGCGCCAAACGGCATAGTTGCCATTTTAAACAGTCTTGGCTTCTTAATGTTGGGATCGAAAACGCAAATGATCGCTTTTCCACGCTCACTTGCATGAATAGGAAGCTGGCGGTAAGCTGCCTCCATGTCATATGTACGTCCCAGCAGATCGTCCATGCCTGATCCCATCAGGCGCTTAATGAGGGCTGCAATCTCGTCAACCCCTTGCAACGCAATCTTGTCAGTGGACCCAATGGTCGCATTGATACTTGAAAAGGAGAAATCGTCAATGGCTCTGGATTTGTCACCTTGCTGGATGATGAACCTTGGTGACAGTACATCTCCTTTATCGAGGTCCTCCACATTGACTTCCTCGACGATCCAACCTTTCTGGACTTCCTCCAACGTAATCTCCAGAAGATCTGAGGCCAACTCTCCGGAAGAGTTCCGTTCACACCTGAAAATCGCAGATTGATTGAGAAAGGGAGAAAGCGATTCAAGAGTAGACTTCGAGATCTGTGGAGGCGTTGTTTGTCTTGTGAATAGTCCAGATGGGTTAAGCCAGCCAGTCAGTCTGAAGCCAGCTTCCAAATCCCCAACGATGTCCACGTCTGGATGTTGTATTGAAGACAGCAACTCTTCAAGAAGACAGAGACGTTTCTTCGAATTGATGGCCTTGACGACACCATCACAGTTATGCTTGCGCTTCCTTTCCGAATTGTTCAGTTCTTTCGCCCGGTCCAAAATAGACTTCAGAGTTTGTGCTTGTTCCCTCAGGTATTCGTCTTGAGGCTTTGATATCATGTCTTCGATGGCTTGAGAATACCAACCCCAAGAGGAAGAATCAATTTGGCTCGGATGTTTTGTCCCTGCCAACTTCTGTAGATAGGTACATGGAGAAATCGGAACAAGAACCTTCATCTTTCGTGAGTCATCTGTCCGAGTTGAATACTGAGCTTTTGAAGACGACCCATCATCAAACTGAAGCTCAGGAGGGAAAACAGTCCCTTTGAGAAAGGGAGAATGAAGTTTGTCATTTGGAATACAAATGTCAGGTAATTCAGATTGAGCAACCCAAAGATCTTGAAAAGACGATGGTAAGAAAGAAAATTGAGCACCACGAGGTTGAATGCCAACTGATCCTCGAAGAAGATGTCGAGCATGACGTGGGTCGCTTGTGTCAAAATCGAAGATGTGAGATGGTGGTAGACAAAAGTTTTGATGAAGAGCGATGTCAGACATGAGAGAAGCGATTGCAAAACAAAGTTGAAGAGGATATGCTGCTTCTTCAGCCGTATGAAAATGAATAGAATCTTCAGAGAAAGATCGCCAAGGAGCATGTTCGTGAGCTTCATCACATAGAATTGCCAAAGACGTAAGGTCAAAAATTGCTAATAAGCCAGTGCGTTTCGGGCGAGAGCCACCGAACATACAATTGTGTAGCAAGATTTTGGGGAAATTCTGATGTCGTTGAGAGATCCAAGAAGTAAACCAGAATAAAGAATCAAAGGGATTCTCAATCACCCAATAGAGACCAAGTAGGTCGCAAAGAGATGCAATACGTTCACAAAGTTCATAAAGAGAATTAGCTGACAATACCCGTTCGAGGTCCATGCCAGTCAGATCTGGTAGTCCATCTGGGCATAGGTCAGATCTCAATGGACTCGCAAAAGCCTTGCCAAACCTGTTCTTTGCAGGGATATTTCTGGCCCGTGATGCCGTACCGCACGGAGGTGCCATCCAAACGGGAAAAGGCTTTTGATGACGGATAAGATCCAATAACAAAGATTGGTCATGCTGAATGGTAAGGTCCAATTGCATTACGCGAAACTGGTGAGACTGTGTATGGTCAACCGCAATGGCCTGGAAGCCAAACTTTACAAAGGTTGAGGAAAGGTTGCACGACCCAGCAAATACTTCAATGATGAGGAGCTCACCGAAAGATGGCATTCTGCTGGCTGCTGATGAATTCGGATGTGAACCTGCAACTGACTTCGAGGGCAATGGTTCTTCATGCATCGGCTGTGCATGTTCTGAGCAAGGAGAAGATAGTCAAGCCTGGTTCTGGCCAGGCTTCTTGTTTTTGG